AAAAAAAATAATGAGTTTTCAACATTGTTCAAATCTGAAATAAAAAAAACTTGGAGGATATATTGGAATGAAAAATATATCATGGTGAGACAAAACTACTTTCCAATCGGCGAGATGAAGGAGACGATGGAGCGCAGACGAAAATCGAACGAGAGAGGAAGAATAGAGGATTGCTCCGATGATGAAGAATAATGGAGACGACGACCGAAGACCAAGAACGTTGATGAAGCCGGAGATGGAGGAACGCATACGGTCGGAGACGAAGAAGAAAAGTCGGAGAGAAGGAGCGCAGACGGCCGGAACGGATGAGCGCAGACGGCCCGAATGGAGGAGCGCAGACGGCCGGAACGGAGCAGTCTTCGAACAAGAGAGGAAGAAGAAAAATCGGACAAGGAGGGGTTTTCAAATTTTTTCAATTATGGAAGATTTTGGAATTTGGTTAGTATTTTGGGATTTGGTATTTTTTACTTTTGGAAAGTAGGCAAAATTTAAGGGATTTAAATTGTAACTTCCCAATTTACCAATTTTAGATTTTAAAAATTAATTAATATTGAAGCATACGCTGAAGCAACTTCAGTGCCTCAATGACAGGATTGCGGCCCTGAACCGGTTTGTTTCAAGATCGACAGATAAGTGTCTTCCTTTCTTCAAAGTCCTACAAAAGAAAGGGCCGTTTGAATGGACAGCGGAGTGCGAGCAAGCATTTCAGCAAAATTGTTTTGCAATGACGCTTTAGTGATTTAGAGCAACAGCCACCGTAGGGCGGACAAGTACTCCTTCACTAAATTGAGACATTCTCAACTAAATTTTACACCAGAATAACAATTAAAATAATAAGAGAAACATGTTTATAATGTAAAATCAGCAAGAACAATTTCTATTAACACACATCAACGCACACACCCGCCCCTGTGCTACTTACTTTATTACGTCTCAAAACTCTCACAAGAGATACGAAAGGGTATACTAGTAAATTGGGTGATGGGTATTAAATGGGTTGTTTCATAACAAAACTGTAAATTTTATACATTCAATCCTTTTATTTATGTAATTATGATCTGTAAATAGCCTATCAATATACTAATCCCTAAATATAAATATAAATCTCTAATGGGCCGGCCCAAACATGCAAAATGGAATGGACTTGGAATGGGCCCATAAAATGAAGAAGATATTGGTGGAGGTTTGACCTTGACGGAACATGAAAAGTTTAACGTCGAACGTTGGATTTTCTTTCTCTCTTTATTATTATTATTATAATTATAACTATTATATTTTAATTCTTTTGTGGAGACTTGAACGTGGGAAAGTTGGACGTTGCTTTTAAATGCTTTCTCACCATGACTTGTGGATCCAATATTCCAATGCACAGAATATTTCTTATTATCAAAATAGAAAAGAAAAAGGCATATATAAATCAAAGCCTGCCTCTTCTTTCATTTTAACATTTTTTTGGGTGAATCTTGTTTAATTTTTTTTATTACTTTACATTCGATAACAAATTTATTGAAAGGACCTTTTGACATTCAATTAATTTTTCTGTTCTACTCTTCTTAAACTCTTCGTATATTTCTTTTAGACATATTAATATTCTAAATTAATAGTTAAAGTAAGCAAATCTCATAACATATCAAACAATATGAAATAAATTTTTTAAAAGGTAAAAAGGAAAAATTCGTAACTCGCTGCTAGATTGATTCAACAAATAACAAATTTGAAATTTTGATTTCTACTCTAACAATGGATAGTCCCATTTGGAAAACGACTAACTTGAAGCTGCTAGATTGTTCAATAGCAATTTGAAATTTTCATTTCTACTTTAGCAATGGATAACCACACTTGAGTTGGAAGCCTACAAAGAAGATGAAAGTTGAAATGGAGTGAGAAAAATTAAAGTTAAAATGAGTCTAACCTATCTAATATATCTATGATAGAGTTTTAAAGAGAATTTTAAAGGTTTAAATTGTGAGAAAAAAATAAAATAACAAAGGTTTTATTGAGAAAGTTTGGATGAAATTATATTAATAGTTGAATTTGTTTATGAAATTTTGAAAGTTTTATTGGAAAGGAAAAGATAAAAGGTAAACAAAATTGAAAGGTAACCAACTAATTTTTATGATGATTGCTTTTAACATGTTAGACAATTTTTGTTAGTACGAAGATTCAAATTTACAATATAACCTTAACTAATTAAGCTATACTCACGTAATTTTTTTTAATAGGTACGGTGAAGATTCAAATCTACTACCTCAACTAATTAAACTACACTCAGGTGATATATATAATAAAAAATATATATTTATACTCTAGGCTATAATAATATTATGATGATACTAAAAGCGAAGATAACTCAGTAATAATTGACACATCGTTCAATTGGAACGGAAAGTTCAATCCCCTGCATTTTATTAAAAGAAATAATATATGACAGATAAAAATTAAAACTATATTTTGATTCGGAGCACCGTTTAGGTAAGTAAAATATTGTATTTTCCTTCGTTGTAAAGATTCATTGAATTTATCAATTTATCTGTTTGTCTAAAATAAAAATTTAATTTAGTTGTTTAACATATAATTTGGTGTCAGGCCCGAGTTGGATCCCATCACACAACTTTAAACGCGGAAGCAACACGTGCTACGCGCACGAGTGGCGGTGGTAATCAAAACTTTACGCGCCTACCGACTTCTCTCCCAGTCCCAGTCCCAGTCCCCTGTATATAAAGCGGGAATCGATTCTCCCGTTTTCTTCCATATCCATCTCTCAACTTTCAATTCCCGCAACTTTCTACTCTCAATTTCTTCGCCTTCTTCCGGTTCTCTGTAAATCTGTGCGGCGAAAATGGCAGGTTTAATCGACAAGGCGAAGGAGTTCGTGGCGGAGAAATTGGCCAACATTCCGAAGCCGGAGGCCTCCGTCAACGACGTCGATTTCAAGTCCATAAGCCGCGATTCCATCACGTATCAGGCCGATGTCTCCGTCTCCAATCCTTACAGCCACGCCATCCCTATCTGCGAGATCTCCTACACTCTCAAAAGTAACGGCAGGTTCGATTTTCCACTTCGATCATCTTCGATTTGATTTTGTTAGGTTTAAAATTTCACGATCGATTCGCACGGAGATTTTCAAATCGATCATTAGAAGATCGGAAATTATTCAATAATGTTGTGTAGACTGTACATGACCGATTGAATGATGAATATTATTGTGCAGAGTTATTGCTTCGGGGATGGTGCCGGATCCAGGATCTCTGAAAGCGAGCGACTCGACGATGTTGGAAGTGGCGGTGAAAGTGCCGCACAGCATACTGCTAAGCTTGGCGAGGGATATTGGCCGAGATTGGGACATAGATTACGAGTTGGAAATTGGACTCACCATTGATCTTCCGGTCATCGGAAACTTCACCATTCCTCTCTCCACCAAAGGCGAGATCAAGCTCCCTACCTTCTCTGACTTATGGGGCTCGGCTGAGTAATGATCATCAAATTATAATAAAATTTTCTTGTTAGCAACTAGCAAGAGCAACAAAACGTATTTGTGTTTGCTTAAATCTTGTATCTGTATACAAAAGTGTAACTCTGCAACACAATTGGAGTCGAGCTCCATTTTTTTTTCTTTCCTTTCCAATCTTGCGGGCAAGGATCAAACCTTTAGGTTTGGTTTGCATATTTAGTTGTTATCAAGTTTGATAAGTTTGATTCGTTCAGTATGAGTTTGGTAAGCCTGTATTTGGATGTTGTTTGAATAAATGGTTTTTCACGTTGGAATCTAATATGAAGCAATGTAGACTATTATATTAATTATTTAATCTTTTTTTTTCAAGTAAAATTAAGTCATATCGATCTGTATTGATCCTGGAATAATCACTCGCTTCGAACAGATCATCATGGGCTGATCAAATCATGGGTCCGATCTTGCCTGATCCCTCACATTTCCACATTCCCACATTCTCCACTTTATAAACGGTAGAGTCATACCTCACTTATCCTACTTGAATTTTAACTTAGACTTATTTTAGTTTTAGAGGTGGTTAATTATAGTTGAAAAATCGATCTGCACGACCGAAACCGATTGAAATGGAGGTGGTCAGTTGATTTTAAGAGTAAAGCATCGTGATCCTCTAGAAAAATGAAGACCCTCAAAAGAGATTCACACAATTTTTAGCAGCACCGTCCGAGGAACAGCACCGTCCGAGGAACATTAGGATGGAAGAGAAAAACTTCAACGAAATACTCTCCTTCCCACCTTCTAAACTATTTATGTCTTTGTATAATCTATAATTTGGGTCGTAAATTTATGAATTAGAAAAATTAGCGTGAAACAAGTTTGCAATATAGTCAATGAGATTAACAAAAATTCATATGGTTTAAGATAAAAGCAAGTCGAGCATAATTCGATAGATAAAATATTTATCTATTTCTTCAAGAGTGAAGGTCAATCTCACCTGCAGAATTTATTAGTTATACTCTTCCGTAAAGAACTTTCCTTCTCCACTTCTATAATGTTGTCACTTCATTCTTTAATCAAATATTAGATCGATTAGTTTAAACTTATCAACCAAATGCTTTTTGATCCAATGCCAAAGGTTGTTACAGATAGAGGGTTTGTATTTCCAAAATAAAAGAAAAAAAGCAATAAAATCATCTGAAACGGGCCGGCCCAATCATGCAATGTGGATTGGACTCGGAATGGGTCCATAAATTGAAGAAATACCGACGGAGGTTTGACCGTTACAGAATTTGAAAAAGTAAACGTCGAACGTTTTCTTTATTATTATTATTTTATTATTTATTTCTTGACTTGTGGATCCAATATTCTAATTCATAAGAGTCTTTCTTATTATCAAAATAAGAAAAAGAAAGAAAAGGAAAGGTGTTGATTTATTAGTTTAATTTTTAATAATCTTTTATGTTCAAAAATATATTGGAATTATTAATTTAAGATAGGTGACCATCATAGAGTTTAAACTCATTTCGTCTTAATTAATCTTAACTTATTTAGACTAATAGACCACCCATGATGATCTACCATTTAAATTTTAATTTACAAGTCTCAAGTATAATTCAATAAAGTATATATCATCAATAAATTTGGAGATTTGAATTTTAAATCTTCATTTCTAAATGCTCTTTTGTTTGGGGGGAAATTTCTAAATGCTCTTCAAATAAAAGACTAATAATAATTTAATTCCAGTAAAATTCCAATTTCTTATTCATGGTTTGTTTCTATACCATTTTAAATTTACTAATAAACAATTTTAAATTTAAATTTGGTCTGTGAAAAAAAGAAGGAATAAACAAATTTATTCTTTTATTTTCATTTTTACTCGATTATAAATCATAATAGAATTAGCTAAATAAAAAGGTATCAATTTATTACCATGTGAATGAAAAGCATGCCACTATTCAATATAGTAACAATAGTAATAATTGGTAAGGTTGGACCAAATTAAAAAAAATGAAATTTTAAATTTTTAAAATGATGAAGACTAAATTAAAATCAAGTATAAATTTGATAAATTCACGTTTAAGTTAATTTTAGAATTAAAATTTACCGGCATCTAAAAGATGATCTTTTATTTTTCTTCATTGTAAAGATTCTTTACTTATATTTATAATATAACTTTTATTTATTTATTTGTTCAACATTTAATTTGTTTCATCTCGCAGTTGGATCCTAAACGCAGAAGCAACACGTGCGACGCGCACGAGTCGCGCTGCCGATCAAAATTTTACGCGCCTACGAACTTCTCTCCCAGTGGGGTCCCATCCATATAAAGAAGGAGCCGATTCTCCCGTTTTCTTCTATTTCCATCTCTCAATTTTCAATTTCCGCAACTTCCTACGCTCTCAATTTCTTCGTCTTCTTCCGGTTCTCTGTAAATCTGTTCGGCGAAAATGGCGGGTTTGATCGACAAGGCGAAGGAGTTCGTGGCGGAGAAAGTGGCCAATATGCCGAAGCCGGAGGCCTCCGTCACCGACGTCGATTTCAAGGATTTGAGCCGCGATTCCGCCGAGTATTTGGCAAAGGTCACCGTCTCCAATCCTTACAGCCACTCCATCCCTATCTGCGAGATCTCTTACACTCTCAAAAGTGACGGCAGGTTCAATTTTCCACTTCGATCATCTTCGATTTGATTATGTTAGGTCTAAAATTTCACGATCGATTCGGATCAGATCGGAAATTATTTTCAATAATGTTCGTCTTCTGGAGGATTGAAATGATTTGTTGCTGAGATTGATTGTACGATTACTGAATGATGAATATTGTGCAGAGTGATTGTTTCGGGGACGGTGCCGGATCCAGGATCTCTGAAAGCGAGCGATTCGACGCTGCTGGAAGTAGGGGTGAAAGTGCCGCACAGCATACTGCTAAGCTTGGTGAAGGACATTGGCCGAGATTGGGACATAGATTATGAGTTGGATATCGGACTCACCATTGATCTTCCAGTCGTCGGAAACTTCACCATTCCTCTGTCCACCAAAGGCGAGATCAAGCTCCCTACCATCTCTGACTTCTTCGCTTAGCTATAATCTCTTATTCATTTTATTAATTTTCTCCGTTCATGTTTTAAGTATCTCGGCTTAAAGTTTTGAATCTCGATCGGTTGAGAGATCATTTCCATTAAAGTAGTAGAGATTTTATTTTTCTTGGATTTCTTTCTTTTCCTATTTTTACTTTTTAAATAATTCATGCATGGTTTGTATTTGTACGAGTTTTAAAAAAAGTTTAAATATTCTTGTTGCCCATGACTCTCAAAACGAGTATTTTAATCTCTTTATCTAAAATATATACATGTCAAATAAAAAATATATCTTATTTTAGTCTTTTTATTTTTATTTTTATAATACAGTGTGTTAAAGTAAAAAAAAAAAGTCCCCCTCCGTGAAAACCAATTCATTTAGATAGTGAAATTTTAGATTTGTCCTAATATCTCTCTAGATTTCGCGATTGGCAAAGGGAAATACCACTTAATGTAATGGATGGACCTAACCATTGAATCTATGTGGTTACGAGTCGAAATTACCATAAATTATGGCTAGAGCTAATAGAGAGAACAATAAAGATAACGAACGCGGAATCTGCTAATGAATTACGGGTAATTAGGGCGAGCACTCGACGAAAGGACACCTTATCAAATACAAAAATTGGCTCCATCCCACTTTATTAAAAATGGTCTTGAGTCAACAATAGGGGGACTATATGCCTGAACAGGTATGGTTTTGTATTTGAATTACAGTAAATGGAAAAGAAAAGTAATATCAATTTGCATAAAAATATGTGTAAATTAATTTTGAAAAATGAATGCAAGGAGTTTTTTCTTTTTGTTTATAACCTTTAAATTATATATGGAGATAGAATTTAGGAATTAGGATGATTATGATGGGTTGGATTGGGTACATATTTTTCAGACTAAAATACAAAAATGTAGTGTCACACGTGAGCAAACACTGCATCATTCACATTTCTCTTACAAAAGAATATTAGAAACTTTTTTGTTGTTTTCTTCACCCACAAAAACTACTACTCTATCCTTATTATTCTCAAAAGAAAAAGAAAACTAATATTCGATAACTAAATATATATATATATATATTATGTGTTTAATGTACTCATTAAAATTAAAAACTAAACACTCGTGACCCTTGACCAAAGAAAATTAGAGGACAGGGAGAAGGATGAAGGACCAACATATTCTAAATAAATCTTGTTGTTCATTAAATTTAAAATTTTTGTGGTCCTATTTTTATTTTTAATTTGGTCTTTTGGTCTTTTGCTCTCAGTTAGCATGTTCTAAAAATTTTCAGTTAGGCTCTTCCACAAACAATTTGTTAACAAAAATTTTGATAAATTATCATTGTTTGATTAATAGTTTAGAAATTGAACATGTTGTTTGAGGGTTACACATGAATCACAAAACTTACACTAGTAGTATTCATTTTTTTCTAAGTGACATGCCAACATATTTAAATATATTAATAAAATAATAATTAAATGGTTATTATAAACATAGTTCAACGATTAAAGCACTTTTCTCCTTTTACAAATGTTAGAGGTTCAAAATTCAAATAATCTAATTGAGAGTTTTAATAAATCGAGGATAAAAACAAATTTGAGAATTTAAAAAGAGAAAAAAAGTAAGGAAAAACATAATAAATTATCCATAAAGAGGGATAGTTGATGACTCTAACCTTTCTCTATTTTGACTAAATAGAATTTTTTTAAGTATAATATGTGAGGGTAAAAATTTCTAACTCAAAGAACTTTACTGAGTTAGGTACATATTGACTTTTTTTTCAGTTGAATAAATAAAGTTTCAACTTTGAAGCAAAGTTATTGGAAGGGCAAAAAGAAAGTGAGATAATTACAAGCTCACTCACAAGTCCAAAGTCCAAAGTCCAAATTCCAAATTCCAAATTCTATCATAATTAAAAGAAAAGAAAAAATGAAAAAAAATTGAATATCAAAAGTTGAAAGAAAAGGGGAAAAAAATAAAATAAAATTTAAAAAATCCCACAAAAATATGCCCTGGAAATGGGTTATTGGTTTACAGTGAGTTCCCAAAGACGAAGCGTATTAAATGCTGCGTCTGCAATCCCCACCCACCTTCCCCCAAAAAGTTATCTGCCCTAATTCCTTCCTTCTCCGCTTCCTTCTTCTTCTTCTTCTTCTTCTTCTTCTTCTTCTCCTCCTCCTCCTCCTCTAATGGCTGCAACAACTCCATCTCCAAACCTTCTTCAATGTCCTCCCCCTCTTCCTCCAACTACTCCCTCTCCAGGATCGGCCTCGGCTACGCCATCGCCATAGCCCTCGCCTTCCTCGTCCTCCTCTCCGCCCTCCTCCTCGCATTCTACGTCTGCTGCCGCGCCTCCCGCTCCCGCCGCCTCCACTCCCGCCCCTCCGCCGCTCCCTCCCGCTCCGATGCCGGCATCATTCTCCCCCAGATCATTTTCGTTGCCGAGGACGACGCCGCCGCCGGCCCAGATCGCGACGATGACAGCGGCGTCGTCGGCCTCGACCAGGCTGTGATCAATTCCTACCCTAAATTCCCCTTCTCCAAGGACAAGACGATGGGCGGCGGGACCAATTGCGTCTGCTCCATCTGCCTCTGTGATTATAAGGAGGCGGAGATGCTGAGGATGATGCCTGAGTGTAGACATTTCTTTCACCTCTGTTGCATCGATGCTTGGTTGAAGCTTAATGGCTCCTGTCCTGTTTGCCGGAATTCGCCGCTCCCGACGCCGCTCTCCACTCCTCTGCAGGAGGTTGTGCCGCTCTCGCAGTACATGGCAGATCGGAGAAGGAGGTGACTGATTGATTGATTGATCCACGAGGCTCTGATAGGTTCTTCTGTTAGTTCTTCTCTCTCTCTATCTCTCTTTCGATTCCTTATCTCTGTTTGTTTTGCCTGTTTTTGCTACTAGGGAACTGTAAATTCTTTGGTTAGATGCTGAGTTTTTGAGTGCTCTGGGAACTGTTCAACCCATACATTAAATTTTCAATTCACTTTTCGGGTAATTCGCTTGTGTAGATCTGATAGTGTTGGATTCGTTTATTCGAAAACCAAACAAAAAATTGAGACAAGAAGAACTTTTCTATCTTCTTCCTTCCTTTTTGTGCGAAAAAGTTGGCTTCACCCTTCTAAAGGGTCCTCTTTATTTCGCCTCTAGTCTTCTTAGCTGGGCCAGAACAGAATGTTTGGTCGCTCCATTTTCTTTCTAATTTTTCAACACCATCATCATATGCTAATGGGTTGGTAAGCGTGCAAAAAATTCGTATTATAAAGTTGAAATTGAGAAGTAAAAGATGCGGTTTATATACAGTCTTTGTTGAGATAAGCAAATTCATACCATACCTCAAATTTGAGTTCAACATCTAAGTCAACTACTTCTTTATGGTTTTGGTGAATTTTCTGTTGTTCTTGGTTTTCAAGTTGGAAATGGTAGAGAGTTTTACAAGGCTTGTGCTGTGGATGTGAAATGATGGGGCTGATTTTGCTTGGAATTGTATGATTCCAAGAACTTTTAAAAGGACTGAAAGCTGAGATTTAGCTTCACTTTAGCATTTGCTTTTGTTCTCTTTATCCCTTTTAACTGTGGATGATGACTGATGGGGTTATGATTTCAATAGGCATCTTGGTCACCTTTCCCGAGTTCAATTATGAATCCATTGATTTCACTGCTTTTTCTTTTTTCTGTGGAAATTTCAGACAGGAATTGCTGTGGCCTTTTTGTTAACAACGGACATGAACAGAGTTTTATGTCGTAGATTTAGGTTTTGGGCGGGTTCGGCTTCACAAGCCCGGGTTTAGATAGTTTGGTTTAGAAAAACCGTATTTTATTTAGAGTACGTTTTTGTTTGGGTAGCATGGATTTAAGAAAATTGTGTTTAGGGAATAGGTATCTGGATAAATGGTTGTCCCATGAGAGTCGAGGTGCGTGCAAGCTGGTTCGAACACTCATAGATATAAAAATAAACTGAAAAAAATTAAAAAATGTGTCAAATTGGTCATTAAACTTTCAACTATGTCTATCTATTAAACTTTCAACTTTGTGTCTATCTTTAAAAATTTACAAACGTGTTTGACATAAAATCGAATGGTTACAGTACTATTAGGCACGAAATTCAATAGTTTTGTGAATTTTAAAAAGTGTTGAATAGATTAGGAATCTATTAAACACAAAATAGCGAACATAAAGAGCAATTTATATAGAGAGATGAATGAGACGAAATGTATAAGTAAAGAAAAAATTGTGATGGGAGGTAGGCCAACTCCATAATAGTAGTTAGATATTTATTTATGATCTAATATTTTTATAAAATGCAAAAATACATTGAGAGAACTTATTAAGAGAGTATAGGGTAATGAGTGAAAACGATTATCTAATGACTATCCGCGAATATGTCATGAGTTCAAATCCTCCTACTTGCTTGCTTGTTGTATTAAAAAACTAATAAATAAAAATCAATATTTTATCTAACATTATGTGAATGATAATTCTAAATTATTCTCACTGAGTTATCTCTAAGAATATTGATATCAATTGTAACCTTATGAAACAATAAATGATTTAGGTGTTAGCTACAACAAGATAACAAATTGCAATTAATGCTCATAATTCATGTGTAGATTATAACAGGTTTGCTAAAAATAATATCTCAAGACTGACTCCAATTTCAAAGCCCAAAAAGCATGAAAGCAATAACCTCTTCACTTATTTGTCTTCTGCCTCTTCAATGCTCATGGGCCTTCCTTCTCAACTTGATAACTATTCTTTTCTTTATTATGATTTTTCTCCAATTAAATAAAAACTATAGCCAAACTTGAGGGTTTTTTCTTTTTTTATCTCTTTTTTTTTGTGGTTAAGGAATAGACAAAGAGTGTAGTCCAAATTCCTATAATAAGTTCAACAAACGAGTCTTGCATTTGTTGAACTTAAAAAAAATAACATTATGTTTCAATTATACTCTCCCTGTTTCAAAAGTTTCAATTATACTCTTGACATTTTAAAATTGTTTAAAGAAATCTTTTCATCTTTTTTTTTTTTTGTTAAAAAACAAGATGAATATATGATGTGGTAGTGAGTTGGACGATGAGAGGTAAAAATAGAGATACACATATGATGTGATTTTAATTGTACCCTTAAATTTCAGATAAGTTGTAAAATGGAAGTTATACATGGGCACAAATAGTAGTTGAAAGGTAGCGATTTAATAATTTTAAATATAAAAAATTATATATAGAGAGGCTAGAGTTCATAGGTATTTTGTATAATTCAACAACGGAATTAGTTGAAAGTTTGAAACATAGGTTTGACTATTTATTTGAATGGCTAGTTCAAGGGGTAGTTTAGGCCCTATGCCCCAGAAACCCAAGCCTGATCCGATCATGACCCTCACAAAGGGCCAACCTCATTTGACTATTTAAATGACAAGTCCAAAGCCTAGCTCTTTAGGTCATATGCCCAAGAAGTTTTAGCCTCACTCACTCAATCATGGGCCTCGAAATATTGAAATTAAAAATAATTCCCTCGTGGCTCACCGAACCTACTTTCAAATTGAGGAAAAAACTGTTCAAGCATGGTCATCCAGTTGAATTTTGTGACCCTCTTAGTGAGAGGATTCGATCTTGCACCATCGACTCTTCTCAAAATCCAGTGTTTTTCAAGAAAATACGAGTCAAGATCTCGATAAATAGACACATTCCATTGCACTAATTGGGAGCATTCATAGTGACTGAGAGAAGTGAGTTTGAACAGTGGAATTGCATGTTGTTAAAATATCTGTATTTATTTTGAAGGCAACTTAACTAAATATAATTTCTCTCTTACTCCAATTCAAACTTTTGTATGTACTTGTTCAATTTACGCTTTTGTTCATTCTAGTTATTGTACTTTCAAAACATTATTTTGGTCTCTTTACTTTTTTTAAAAACGACTAATTTGGTCCTTATTTGTAAAATTTCAATACAAATTTTTATACACAATCGAAACTTTTTAATTTAAATTTATGACTACATTTTAAACAATTTAATGAATAAAGTGTCATACTAAAAGTATGATTTAAATAAAATGAAATAAAAGTAAAAATAAATGGATTAAAATGATCCCTTTTTAAAAGAAAAATAAATATGAAGCACATAAATTAAAATAATCAAAAGTTAAAACTACGTGAATCAAAATTGAGATTTTGAATTTACATGGACTAAAATAGACACCTTTAAAGAATAAGTCTCATAGACCAAAATGGTATTTAAATCTATAAAAATTCTTCTACTATTTCTCGAAAGTCGATGACTATTTATAACTATTACCTTGACATAAAGAAAGAATTCGACCTAATACTTTATTTCTGCTCCAGTTGAAACAGATTTGACAAATGTGTGACAATATATTAAACATAAATGTAAACATACAAGTACCAATAATAGATACAAATTAAGATAATGTTATTGGATGAGAAACACAAGTAATTAAATGTAGACTAAAAAAATAGAAAAATACATTTAAGAAGAAGAACCAAGTTTATTTGTTTCTAGAAAAAAGTAATCATCCAATTTTAATTAATTATCAAGTGGAAGAAAAAAAAAGTAAAATTACTATTTACTTTACTTTTATTTATTTATTTTTTTCCCTTTTGAAAAGACGTGGAAACAAGGATTCCGGTTGCGGTATCTTCGAAAACGTGGATCCCACTTACCGTCCCTTCGGACAGTCCAAGCCGTCCAAAGCTGACATCGTTTGATTCACTGCCACGTGTCCTCCTATTTTTCGACGCTGTCGGCTACTTTCCCAAACATCCGCTGCTCTTCGCACTTTCACCGTCAGCTTTTGCCGACGCCGTCACTTAACGTCGTACCTTTTTCCGCCACGATTTCCGTCAATCTGCTTCCGCATCAGGAAACCCAAACATAAATCTCCAAGTGTCACTGTTCCTTCCATTTCCTTTCTTTTCAAATTCCTTCCGCTCTCTTCTRAAACCCTAGTCTCTCTCTCGAGATCCATCGAGTTGCTTGATTTTCTTCTGCAGATTTGGTCACTGKGACTGATCGATCATGGCGGATCACTCTGACAGCGCGGAGCCGAAGGCGGAGTCTTTGATTGACAAGATAGTTGAGAAGATTCACGATCACGATTCCTCTTCGTCGTCGGGATCGGATTCCGAAACCGAGGGGTCGGCTGCTTCATCTTCATTGAAGGAGAAAGTCTTCCGGCTTTTCGGAAGGGAGAGGCCAGTTCATCATGTCCTCGGTGGTGGAAAACGTACTGAATCTCACCTCTCTGATTCGAAGTTATTTGAAAATCATTTCGTTTCTGATTTTTGAAGTTGTGTTTATGTTTCTTTTTCCTTAGTGTTTAGATTGAGATTCTGCTTTCTTTAGTTTAGTTGGAGCTTGGTATTGGTTGATGTTCATCAGGCGTCTTTATGCTCTGTAGTCGTCGTTCTAGCTTTTTCCGTATTCCTTGCTTGGATGCTGAATATGCGAACAGTAAGAAATTATAGATCTGGTTGCTTTACCTTGCTGTGAAACGTTGATAGTTCAGATCGAGGTTGAGACATACTCAAGTGATTTCATTGAGCTTTCTGAACAGAGTATTTATAGTTTTCTGCACTTTTACTTCATAGTTTTGTTTTCAGCGCACATATTTTCGGCTTCTTCACATTTGAATATGCTCTGATGATGATTGTGTTTTTCTYGTGTCATGAGGAAATGTTTTTTTCTTTTATTGATAGTTGTGAATGTTGACTATTTCTTTCCCTCTTGCATATGCAGCTGCTGATCTATTCTTGTGGAGGAATAAGAAGATCTCAGCCAGTGTTCTTGGTGGAGCCACTGTCATCTGGATCTTCTTTGAATTGCTGGAGTGCCATCTGCTTACGTTTGTCTGTCGCTCTCTGATCCTCGCCCTTGGACTCTTGTTCCTTTGGTCCAATGCCCACACATTTATTTACAAGTTAGTTACTGGACTTCAATTTCATCTTTATCAATAATTATGCTTCTGCAGGCTTCAAGTTATGCTCTTCTTTCCACTGTTTAATTAGTGTATTTACAGGAGTCCACCCCGAGTCCCAGTAGTTCAACTTCCTGCGGACCCTTTCCTGGAGGTTGCTTCTGCTTTGAGAGCGGAAATTAACTGTGCTTTTGCATTATTGCGGGACATTGCAACTGGAAGAGATTTGAAGAAATTCCTCACGGTACGTATATGTTATCTATGTACTTTTTGTTTTGTCTTGATTGTGTATTTACATTGGTTGATGGTTCGTCTCAGTAATTGGGTCTGAACAAATTACAACTTTTTATACCTCGTTTAGGCTTCAGCTTCAACGATAAGTCTTAATATGCTAATTTAGATTTATCTAAAATATATAAATATTATGTCTATCTCAGGCAATTGCTGGCTTGTGGGTTCTGTCAATTGTGGGAAGCTGGTGCAGTTTCTTGACGTTGTTCTACATAAGTAACGACAATTCCAACTTTATCTTCACATTTGTAGCTACCCTTTTATCATTCTGTGTTGAATCTGACATTTGAAAACGATATCTTTGAAAACAGACTTTGTTTTGTTGCACACGGTGCCCGTTCTGTATGAGAAGTATGAAGATAAGATCGACCCATTAGCGGAGAAGGCATTGATTGAGTTCAAAAAGCACTACGCCGTGTTTGAAGACAAGGTTTTGAGCAAGATTCCAAAAGGCCCATTGAAAGGCAAGACGGCTTAGACTGGCCTAAGTGTCCTCTTCCTTCACAAAAAGCGGTAACCACATGTTTATTGATCTTTCTCTTTGTCTTTTGGCTGCGCTGATAGAGCATAGGTTGTTGAATCATTGGGGTGGTTTTCGCAATTTAGTGGGTTTGTTCTGCAAGTGTTCAATTTGTAAGTTATTAATTGTATGGAAACTTTCAGGAGAGAAGTACTTTGGTTTGTGGTAACTAGTTTTGTAGTTTTTCATTTTTCCAATTTGAGCGATGCCTTAAGAACGAAGTTTTAGCCTTTGATGTGAAAGAAAAACTATCATCTATCTGCCTACTCATTCATAGACTTTCTCGTGTTCCTTTGGTGGGAACTCGATGAAAATTCGTCCTTTTAAATTTTAAAAAGTTGGAGTTGATTTTTCTAAATTGAGGCTTCTAGCCGAAGCGAGTTTCAAATATTGTGGTAATTTCTTTTTTTTTTATTTTCTGTTTTAAACATGTATGTTTGTTTTCCACCATTTTGAAAACATATTTGAATTTAGTCAAATTTTAGCAATAAAAATTAATTTATGAAAATTACTTTTTTGGTTTTTAAAAGTGTCTAAATTTTCAAAATGTTTTTTAAAACTATATAATACGTGGAAGCTACGTTTCTGAGCTTAATTTGTAACAAGGGACAACAAAAAATTAAAAGATTATTAATTGGGGTCTAGAAATGAAATGTTTGGGAAACTATGGTCTCGAAACAACTCTTTTGTTCGGGTAATTTCAAATGTATGACTATTTACTTCGCATTATGAGTTAAATATTACGAAAGACCCTAGACGATACTGCCAAACATAATGAAGTACTTTAGCACCGAWATCCATTTTCTGTTCACYAGATATTAAAAATAATTTTAAAATGTTGAAGACAGCAAATAAATTGTTCAAAATAATTCAAACAATATACAAGATTTGGGGTCACGGAGATTTAATCTCCGATCTCGTAACTGCTATATTTTGTATTTTTATTTTTAGAAATTAAKGTAAAACTACTCTAACAAGTGTATTTATTTATTTTTAATTTCACTTATTCAAAATACTTTTGAAATTTTAATCTGGATTCCAAGACACGAAAAACAATATTTTTTAAACAACCTTTTCGAGTTTTAAAAGGTTTGTTAGGGATTAATTTTTTCTCTTTAGAGTAGATTATAAAATRATTTGTGAATAAATATAATTTCAAAATTAAAGAAAAAAACATTACTAAATGGATCTTCAACGATTTAAAATTTCGGTATATTATTGATTTTCTCCTGTGTGGAAAAGTTCGTTTCTTACATGTTTATCTCATTAAGTTTTTATTTTTTTAATTATTTTTTGGGTACTTTTTGAAGAAATATTCAGAAAAAGAAAAAAGATAGCCATTATAGGTGGGCCTTGGGCTCTTACATTTTGATACATAACCAGACCGGCCCAAAAGCCCAATTCAAGCTCTGTATTCAACTATTTAAGCGTTGGGCTTCTTCAGTCCAACAATCAATACATAGAAATCTAGGGTTTCGTTCTCGCTCTCTCTCTTTTCTCCCTCTCTATAAGATCGAGTTCTAGCGTCTCCTGCAAAATAGTGATAATTGATGCGATGAAGAACGAAATTGAAGATGAAAAATCATCGATTACGTAGTGGTTGAAGTTGTAATCGCTCGGTAAGATGAATATCTATCTGGTTCGTATTCACTGAGCKTCATATCTTCTCTTCTCTCTTAATTTTCGATTCGAAGGTCCTATGGATGGGGCGCCATTGCAATCAATGCGCTTTTGATCCAAGTTTGCCTTCGGAAATCGCAGTGAAATCAGATCGCCGAGCCAAGCTATGAATAACTGGTTCGGTTGTCGGTTTTTTCATACAGAAATTCGTTCTCATTTCCTAGTTAGTTTTTAAAAGCGAAGGTCCCAGCAGAGGGGAAACGAACTCTGAGATTGAGGCCCCTCTAACTTTCAAAGAAATCCTTCGCAGATTTATCTGCCGGATCGTAGGACGCCCAAACTTGCATTAATTTTGGATCGTCCGGAACCCTCGGCGATATTTTTTTCTTCCCGTTAAATCTGTTTCGTATAAGTTGAGTAGTTGTTTATTTTTCTTGTGAGTTATGGAGGTATGAACAACGCATTTGACTTCAAAAAAAAAAAAGAACGCATTTGACTTTTGTTAAATTTATGGATTTCACGACCYGTTTTTGTTAAATGATGTGCATAAGTTATTGAAGTTTCTCAAATCATTCTGTTCGTTTTTGAAGTATAATTTTAGATCTAATGTTGCTGAAGTTGAAATTGTTTCCAACGGTGGCTGTAGTTTAGTGGTAAGAATTCCACGTTGTGGCCGTGGAGACCTGGCCTCGAATCCCAGCAGCCACAATTTTGTCATTGAAAATGTGAATAATAATATATTTATATATATTTTTGTATTATGTTATGTAGAAAGCATAGGGCTTTTGTTTAATTTGAAGGTTTCATATTTGCAAGAACGTCGAGGATATTTCTCTATTTCTAATTAGAAATATAATTTTATTTTTGAAAGTGTATAAGATTTGTATACCAATTCAAATGGGTTGTGTCTTCCTACAAAACAATATTCGCTAGTTTTTTATGTTAAGAAAAGTGTAAATGATAGTAATATTCCTCAAAAATTTATTAATTAATAAAATTATTATAGCCTTTCGACATTTGTCTGTTCAATTTTATTTATGATTGTTATTCTCGAATGTAATATCACAAGAATTATATTGTATACATGATTTCAAAATGAAATGTTTTGAACAATAACACGTGGTAGGGGGCTGAATCTATTGAACAATAACAATAGTACAGGATAGTGGACCGCATAGATTGCATTAAAAATAATGAAATGTTTTTTCTATCAACAAAAGAATTGACATAAAGTGTCAAATTTGATTATATACAGGACAGTTTAGAAAGTGTCATCTATAATTTTAATACACTCAATATTCTTGATATCACATTTGATACTTGAAACCATATGCAAGTTTCATTTATTTATTTTTAATGAATAAAAATGGATTACAAGATTTTAAATGTATAATTTATGTTTTGCAACAAATTGGAAATGAGAAAAAAAAAAGAAAAACTTATTTTGATAGAAACAATAAACAAAGGTAAAATTTTTAGATTTCTTAAGAAAATTGAAACGAGCATATTTCATCTATACTCTTACTATACTTTGCACCATCAAAATTAAAGTTTTTTTTATTTTCAATTTATACATTACATCTCCATTTCTGATAGGGTGTTCAAAAGTCTCAATAGTTTTATGGATAGATAAAAAATATTTTATTTCTCACATTTTCTATCGTGATTTCAAGATAATTTTGTTTTCTGTTCAAATTTTAGTTGTTTATTACACGACCAAACATGACTTCTAAATTGTATAAAAAATATATAAAAAAAGTTAAAATAGCAAAATCTTTAAAATATTTTTAGAAATAAGTTATCATGTTTATTTTATTATAGATTTTAAAGAATGAAAATATTAATAAATTATCAAAAGCATTAATATACAAGAACAAAAGACAGAAGCCTATAACAATTTCAAACGAAAGTGAATAGGGTTCTTAAAACCGTACGTCCATGAAGATGCAGTATCCAAAATTTCTATTTACATGTTCATGATGAATGGTACCCGCTTTCTAAACTTCCATTAACAATGGTAAAGATTAGAAACCAAAAATAAATCATCATCAAACCTTCTTCAGCTCAAAAATGCCGCCTCTTACTCCCTCGTATGCCTTCACAATGCTGAACTATCTTGTAAAACTTGTTACAATTCCTCACCCGACACAATGAACTCAACTGAATTTTCACGACATTTTGATCAACAGATAGGAAATTTAACGATTGATCTTTTACCAAAACAACTGCAAAGGTATATCAATTTTCGCATATAATCACAGAACCACATACCGATGCCATGCCATCCAAAATAAGCTTGTTATTTATGTATTTGCATTTTGTACCAATCTGTACCAGCAAATTTTGAAAAACCAATTCTGTACCGTATGGCTGGCTGGATTCATTTTGGTCGCACCAAATATGCTGCCCATATTTCATCAGCAGGTGGTGGTGGTTGAACCCAATGTCCCGGTATTCGGCTGCACAAAATCCCGTAGCAAAATTCATTTAACATAACTCTCCCACCTTTCCAGGCTATGAATTCATTGGAATATATATACAAATATGAACGGATGTATGAATAAGCAGAAACTAGAAGCAACTGTAGAGATATCGTGAGGTTTACTGAAATGAGCACAGTTGAAGCTATTCCTAAGTACTAGTATGGTGGTTTTTGTTGTAAATTTATGATGTACTCGTGGAAGTTCAAATATGTTTTTGTAAGGTGTTAGTAACTTCCATCAAATCACCAGTTTTCCTATGAAGACTACAATACTTGAAAAGTGGAATAACTAGAGTGAAAGAATGGTATCTTACCTTCCTCCAGGTCTTATGTATGCATCCCACGATCTTCTAACCTGCATCGAAAGTCATAACAGATGTAATTCAAAAACCGTGTGTTAATGGTTGTTTTAAGAACAATTAGCAGATCGTAGAGGAATGTTGTTCAGTATCACACAAACACTTCTTTAAAATGTTAGTTCAGGTTCTACAGAATACACCAAAGGAATTCGAGTAAAAGTTTTGGACTTCATGCTTTAGCTTTGGGCCTACGTTTAGTATGTTCCCATGAAATAAAACAATAAAACTACACCAGCTTTCACCCATCGCTCACAAATCTCTCAGGACACATAATATCTTTCAGAAATGCAAACCCTACAAACTACATGTGACTCATACTTATAAAGCTCACTCATTTGCACAAAACAAGTACCAATGTAGATACTGTAATTTTTTTTTTTAAGGAAAATTAATCAAAATGTACATTTATCAAAAATGCTAGAGGAGATACTCTGAGAAATGCTCTGTCTTGCAAACAGAATATACATCTACTGCATGCAGATGACGAAATTTTTTCCACAAGATTCTGCAATAAGTGAAAAGCTTAGGAAAATTACTTCAATTACCTCAATTAATGTCCCCATATCAGTGTTACTTCCATAATAATAATGATAGAATTCCATTGGTAAATTGGCCGCATAATCATACACTCTTCCACAACCTTGTCCTTCTCCAAACTGTTTCCCAGGTTCCTTATCAGTGCTGATGTTAGAGACCTTATCATCTGCACTCGCAGTTCTTTGATCATTTCTTTCTTCGAGCCTTTCTGCATTACTATTTGGATCTTTTGATTCAGGATTGTAACTTGGAATGGTCTTCCTAGACACTTCTGCAGTTGCAATGGCATCCCTGGCAGCATCCGTATCAGCTGCAGCAAGGGCTTGACGTTCCTCTTCCTCAACTGCAGCTCGAACCTTCTCCAGAAACTTATCATCCTCCTCAGGTAGAAAATGACCTGGAGAAATATATCGCCAACCCCTACTGTCATGAGGCTGTAAGTGTAACCAACTAACCATAACTTTGTATAGCTTACCACCATTTACAGAAAAGAATCTCGTAAACAGGGTGTTCACAAGTAAGTTAGGCATTCCATGTGATGTTGGGATCATGTCTTATATTAGAAAGTATGAGACTATTACTTACAACAACTCCATTTATTTTCATTCGTTGGGAAATGGTTCTTGTTTCTATGCAACTACGGCTTCCATTTGTTTGTTTTTTTTTTCCCAGAAATAATTTAGATTTAGTTCTTCTATCCATGGTACTCATAAACTCTAACATAGTGCCAACCAAAAAGAATGAGACTGCACTAGGTAACAAATCTACTAAAACAACAAAAAAAACCATCTGCATGTCAAGAATGATATTTAATAATGGTTATTAGAATAGGAAAAAGAGGATGAGAAGTAAGAAATCGAACCTTGTTTCTTCAATTTTTGGATCCTGATAGAGCGAAGTTCTTGCAACTTTTCCACTATTAGTGCTAGTTCAAGCTACATAATATCTGACATTAGCTAGAAATTCATAAAAGAAGGGATAGAAAGGTAGCATGAATAGTTCTAATACTATTGATTGTCACCTCAGAATCTATCCTCTTCTTCTCCTCTTTTGCTTTAACTCTTGCAATTTCTTTCATCTTCTCCACCTGAAACCATTCACCAATTTCATTGTATGGATTAATTACTCATCAACAATAAACACTTTTCTGTTAATATCCTTTGGGCTGATGTTCAATAGTCCAGAGCTAGACAAGCAGAAATACAATAGTAATCAAGTGCAAAACATGAAGAACAAACTTCAAGATTCATCATTAAATGGTTGGTTACTAATTCTGATTTTGAAAGAATAAAAAAAAGAACGAAACAAAAAAACAAAAAAACAAAGGAAAACAATGTAGAATTCTTAGCCAAAAAAAACAGTTGAAACAGGTAAATATTCCAGCACCTTGCGTTTTGCAATATCCTTGGCGATCTCCCTGGCCCTCCATTCATCAGCCTCTCGATCAACTAGGTCAAAACTTCCACGTTCCTAAGTTGCCACAATAAAAAGGTAAAGAAAACTAACATTGTGGTAAAAATTGTAAGACAAATTGGAATACAAATGACCTAAACACTACCTTTGCAAGTGATTCAGCAATGCGCTTCCTCTTCCTCTTTCTCCACAGCTTATTTCTCTTGGCCTTCAATAATTTAGTAGATAACCTAACTGCAGCGTTTTTTTCTTGCCATGGACTCGATTCGTCATAGACCATCCTAAATGGATGAAGCTGAGCTCTCAACTTTCTCATCAAAGCAACCACAGCTTCAACCGAACGCGATTCTTGCAACTCCAAATTAATCCTTCTATCTTCCAAGTACTCAGAAAACTCACTGTCGTTAGGCACACTAACCGCACTCTGCTCGGACGATTTGCCATCTTTAAATATCATCAACATCTCAAGTTCTTTCTGCCTATCAATATTAACACTTCAATCACAACTTCGAACAAGAGCATTTCAAAGCTAGAGCAAAACAGCAAAGAAAAAAAAACACCATTAACTGCGACGTAGTTTTCCACAAATTACGCACAAATACATACATCGACTTTGCGAGATCCAGCGTTTCTTGCAAATCCCTTAGACGATCACGCACGTTGAGGTTATTCCAGAAAGATGCACAAGACGGCGGCGGCATCGAGAACCACGGAGGTTGAGCCGCAAACTGGTGCGGAACCGAATTCATTGCTGCCAAAAGCAATAATCACTGCACCATCAATGGGAAAAAAAAAATTTTAAAAAGAACTGTCAACAAGATTACGAAACGTGAGACGAAGCAGGAAGCAAATCGAACCTCCGAATTTTTCTGAAACTTAAAGATGCTTCAGCTCCGGCACGATACCAGTGAATTTAATTTCTACTTCTTCAAAAATTATCTGTGAATTTCATTCGATTTCAAGTAAAGTGTTTGATGGTGAGGAAAAACTGAACTAAGAAAAAGGAAAAAAACTTATTATTTCCGATATAATTTGGGCTTACGAATTGATGACACGTTGCATATGCTTGGGCTTTGTTCTTTAATGGGCTAATATCAAAGCCCACCGAGTTGTTGGGCGTCGGTCTAGCCCAAAAGGGAAGACGAGTGTCAAACTCAAAATATAAGATTCATGAGTGATTAAGCAAATAGGAATAGAATCGGAATGAAAATTACTAATATACCCTTTTCCTTCTAATTAATTACAAATACATTATCGTGCTAATTTTTAATTATAATAATAATATATTTTATTATTATACTATTGATAATAATTTTTTTACCATAACAATTTATTTAATATTAATATTAATAAATAATAAATCCACTCAAATACTATTAAATTTAATATAAGATATTATTAAATTTTATTATTATAATAATTAATAATAATAAGTTATATTTAAAAAATATGATATTAATTAATAATAACAAAATATAATTAAAATATTATATATAAATTTATAATATTTTATAATAAAATTACATCACTAATAAAAGTGATATAAATTTTTACTAAAAGAAAAATTATTAGTAGTATAAATGAAAAAAGTATAAAACAATTAAATAAAAAGGTACGAGTTTCATTAATCAGGAGAGAGAAAAGGTAAAGGTAAAAAAGTGATTGCAATAAATATGTAAGTTCTCTTTTCAGGGAATGAGAATAAAAAAAGTGGATAAGCCCCACCACTTGGTTCTCATCCTAAAATTTGATAAACACTATCAAAGGAAATGAAAAATTGATTCACATTCTTTCATTCTCATTCCCTTGCGATTTCATTCTGATTCATTCCAATTTCAATTCCTGGTAGGTAAACAGGACCTTAGTGATTAACGTTCTACAATGTGTAACGCGTATTTTGCTTTAGGAAAAGCAATCTGAAACGTAAGCCAAATATTTACAAAAATATTTTTTTTTCCAAGGGTAAGGATGGGAGATTCCTTAACCGTTTAACTAAACTCATGGCATCTTTTAAAAAATAAAACTTCACTAAATAAAGGATAAATCATGTTAAGCCAATAAATCTAACCAGGAATACTGAGCACACAAATTCGATTCCCTGCCAATTTTGTTGAACGAAATTACACCAATTACCCACGGAATCTTTAATTATAGCGTGGTATGCTATTACTTTTATAAAATTGAAAATAGACTGTTACAAACATAATATATAGTTTTTGTCATTCCATCTATAATATGTATATTAACACAAGTTCTAACTTTGGAAAATTTAACGGATCTCATTTTTTTCCCTTCAAAATTGAAGAGAAACAAATTTATCATTGTCAAATGAATTTCTAGTTCTCTTCACTTAAGGTAATCAACAAACAAAAAACTACGAAATAATTTTTAGATATCCACGAGAGCATTGAAAAAAAAAAAGAAATCATTCAAATTATAATCCATGTGATTTACCTTTATCCATTGTTTACCAGTTCATAGTATGGGTGTTTCACGGAGTGGGGCCAGCCCGTCCCCGTCTCCATTTAATTACTCGTCCTCACAAAATTTCGGCAGAAATTCACGAAAACCGAAATCCAATCAAATAATTTTTTAAAAAGGAATTTCTAATTAAACGTTTAATTCTCAAGGATGAATCCTCTTTTACCTTAGAACTTCTTTAATATATATTTAACAGGGCGGGATGGAGAACCTAGACGGAGATCCTCTCATCCCCACCCCGTTTAGGTTGGGCCCCAAAGAAAAAACAAACCCCTCTATTTCATAGATGGTTTAAGTCCTTGGGAACATCTTTTCCTAAGTATTAACGATGGGTGTCCTCTAATGGTCATTTCTTAGCTCGGCTCGAAATTCCTTCAGATGAATCTAAAAAAAAAAAACTGAGAAATCATTATTAAAACATACAGATATGAAAAGAGGATTATGCTTGAAGAAAAAGATACGAACCCATTTGATTTCGATCGTAGTCAGAAGGTGGACAAAGTAACTTGGTATGATCTGATCTTGAGGATAAACCAGAGACAGAACTTAGCCAGTTTGGTCCCCAATTCCATTAGAAATGGGCATGTGGTGCAGTCTGTCAAAGGAAATTATGAAGTTAGAATCCCATACCCAACCTCCTTTGGCTTTGGCTGCTTCTGATGCTCTAATTAACTGGAAGGTTCAATGTCTAAGGGAAACAGTGTATCCCAACTTCTAAAAATGGCATTTGGGAATCTGAAGAGAGTGAAATCTTAGGCATCTGCCCGCCGCATCAGTGGCAACAACAGCGACTGCCTCCCATATCAATGTCTTTGGTCCCCCCACCTTCCCAAATGCCTTGTGTGGTGGGGAATGCTTCTTCTTTCTACCTTGTTTTCTTTTGGTTTTGTACGTACGACTCAATAGTTTCAAATTTTGTTATTTTGCATCAGATAGAGATGATTCATATTGATATGCTACGCGTTCTCGGTGATGGTTGAGCCTTGTTTGGTGGGGCTTTTCTTTTTCCTCTTCTCTCTTTTAGAACTAAACTTTGAAGAGAGAATAATGACAGCCTCTTTCGGATGAAACTTGATGAAATATGAAACATCTCTATTTGATGCAAAATAACAAAATTTGAGAGTGGATGACATCGATTCTGGCTTGAGTTAGAGTAACCTTAGTTGAGTTCATAAACTACAATAATAAAGAATGAGCCCTACAAACTGGCCACCTAGTTGAGTTGATTCTCGTTTAATTCTATTCAAATCACTAGAACTCCCACTTGTCTTTGTTCAAACAATGAAGGAACTAATGTTTTCCATAAAGAGATGATTCTGTATTAGAGTGTATCCTTTCACTCTTCACGGGGAAAAACCCATCACATTTGAAACTCTTCAATGGCATTTTCCTAAATTTTTCTCGTCTCTGTGCTGTGCTCAACTACCTACATACAATTTAATCTAATCTAATTTCGTAGTTTGTGCCTCGTGGCAGAAGTCCAAACTACCAGTTCCTAATAAGCTCCACCAATCTACATCCTCCACACAAGAATTTGTAACAGTGTAATATTTAACATATGTTTTCAGAAGATTTTTTATGAACTTGTTATGGAGGACGCTTTTCAGTGCTTAGTGGACAATTAAGTTCTAAATTTTGATTCATTCAGTTCTACCATAAAATATTCATATAATATAAACAAAGGCTAACAAATTCAGGATAAAGGTTCAATGGATTTTGGTGATGATAGCATATCCATGTGACCCCTGGCAATGGGCAAAGGTCATAACCAGCAGTGAAGATAAGAATTAGGTTGGTCCCCTCAGCAGAGGATTCACAGATTTTGATTGTGTTTGAAATACGTGAAAGGTTACGATGATGAGCACTATTTTCATCTTTTTTCTCTCTCTGTTTCCTTTTTTTTTTTATTGGGGGAACTCCACTATAAATATCAATGATAAGCTGAACAAAAAGGAAAACAACAAAAGGGAAGGAGTGAGAGTTAATCTTCGTGGATTTTCTACTAACAGACTTTGTCCATGTCCTACTTGTAACCAGCTTAACATTACTCTCTCTCCCTCTTTCTATCTCTAGAGACAGAAATGGTAGTTTTCCGTCTGGGTTCCATCAATGGAAATTGGGATAGAAAACTAAAGATTTACTAAGCCAGAGACTAGCCGAAGCATGTCATTGAACACATATGGATATCAGATATGTGAAGAAATGAGTCCAACTGCTACAACAATCTGAATGTCCATTGAATTGTATCGCAAATCAAAAGAAGTAAATACAGAGTTTTCCTTAACAATCAGAAAAGTTGGATGTGTACATTTGAAAACGCACAATGCTGAATGTACAGGCATTCCTCTTATACCTATTCTGTATAAAACAAATTCCCTGTTTTTTCTTAAATAAAGACTCGTTTCTCTCACTCCTCTACGGTATACAGCATAACAAACAAGTAGAGCATCAAGAAACACATCTTAGATCGAATACTTGTCTTTCATCCTCACAGGACCAAAAAAATATAATCTCTCTTCAGACATTGAAGTGAAAAGGGATGTTGCCAAAGAAAAAGAGGACAAAGAACAAATTGCCATGCGGGAACCCTTCCAGAAGTCTGGTATTTTATCCTTCCAATTTCCATTGCCCTTTTCTTCTGGTTCAGGATATCATTCCCCTAAAACAAGAAGAGAATGAGAATACTATGTATTGAAGAAGTGGAGATTAACCAAACATAAAAGAAAAACACGTGTAACACACCTATTGACTTTTTGCAGTGAAGTATTGCTTCATAAATTGAGCTCTCTAGATGACACCAATCACCTGATGAAGAACTACTGTTTCTTTGTGGAGATACTCGAGGGGAATGGTGCCGGCTCTTAACATCACGGGATTTATGTTTAATATCATCAACCCAGGTAATATCGCCTGGGTGTCCTTTATGACAAATGGGACTGAGACATCCTAAATACTTCTGTAACATACACAAGGATCTTCTCCATCTTCCAGAATGACAAGATCGGTTTTGTATGGCTGGACTCAAATTTAAAGAAGCAAGTGAAGAATTGTGCAAGACTGGAACAAAATCAGATGTATCAGAGGCTTCCAATGTTGCGTGACTTATATAAACAGGTCTGATAGAGCCATCAAAGAAAAGTTCATCAGCATGGGCTATGAGAACAGATGGATGGATTGGAGTATTGAATTTGAAGTTCTGGGTTTCATCCAGAAACCTTGAAGGCTTAACGATCTTGTAATCCATCATTTTGGATGTGGCATCATAGGACTGCTTCACATTCGACAGCCAACTGGCGGAAAAGCTCTCAACTGCTAGAGGTCGGGAGTCGTCCATGGTTGTTTGCAATTCATGGACGTAACAACGATGAAGAAAACAATTATATATATTTTTCGGCGACAAGACCACGTGATCCATACCTCAATGTAATGACTAAACATGATGGTGGTCACCAGAGGATATTTTGTCTATTCCATTAAGGTCAAACAAGAGACACAAGGAACCAGCCCCCCTCCCCCTCCCCCCCAAGAAAAATGCTGACAATATGTTTGCTAGTTCTTTATATGATCTATATTTTTCAGTCTTCAATTTGCAATTTGACTACCACTTCCTCATAGAAAACTCATGACAATGGGAGTTTTTTTTTCCTAGTTCACTTATAAAACAAGCACATACTTTGTTTTTAAAAACCTCTAATTTTATTTTTCACAAGTAAAATTTCAAGATTCTTAAGAATTTAACAATCTAGCTAACTAAAAATGTACAAAGTACACTAAGGACTAAAAGTGCCTTTCTAAATGGCAAGCATATCTCGTGCAGTGAACCACTTAATCCAAATCTAGTCATCAGGAAAAAGGAAACACTCTATACAAGTACTGCATTATTCTGTGAAGTCAATAGAAAATAGGATGTTATTACTTCACATAGAAAACATAGACATTAAAATTTTTACCATTGTGAATTCCAATTTCATATTGAAAGCATACACCAATACAACATATGAACTAAAAAGCTAAACAAAGACTTAAACTCTGAATTGATCTTGGCCTAATTTAAAGGAACATACTTAGGTGTTGAGCACCATTAAGTTGTTAACAATAAAGAAATGTAAAAATAGAAAATTAAAAAAAAACAAACAAACAAACGATAAGCTACCAATTTTTCAAGAGCGGTCAACACAGAGAGATAGGTAGAGATAGGTGCTGACTTGATCTAATTTAAATAAAGACAAAGATTTTGAGATAACCTTTTTCCTTTAGAAATTTAACTAAATTCGAGAGACACGTGGTTCTAAACGTATTCAAGAAATATGGGAGAAACAAGAAAGAAAATAAAAATCTAATAAATCCAAGTGTAAAGACCAGCACCTTTAGCAGAAAAACTGAAGTTGCAAGATGATTAGGTAAATCGGAATCTATATGCTTTGAATAAAACTAGAAAGAGGTGGAGAAGTGTATCTTGCACAGAATGAGGTTTTCTTAAATTCATATGCCGTATTAACTCTTTTAAGTATAGTAAGTTCGCAGAAACAAACTATTATAACAAACATTATTCCTAACTCAATAATATACAAAAAGTTAGTTCCAGCAAGGTAAGATAGAATCTCTGGACAGTTAAACAAATGTTATCCACTTGTACATCATGCACAGATAGTGTAAGCAAGATTAATAAGAAGGTTCTACTTGTTCATATAAAACTTCCACAAAATTTAAAAAGTAGTTCAGGGAAAAGGAGGATGAAAAACTAGAAACTATTTGAGAAAAATTTTCAAATATTAGATCCACGATGATATAAACTCTGAGGGGTCCTAGCAATACAACTCACTTCTTCGTTTCATCTCATTCCCAAAACTGTAATCTGTATGTACGTTTTTAACAATTTCATGAAAAGGAAATGAATGTATACTCTAGGCAGGGGGGACCAGCTTGTTGATTAAAATTGGATACTATATATTTCAAAGATAAAAATCAAACTAACAAAAACTCTTGAGAGGAATTAAAAAGTAACCGGTCCCCTCCATTTCCCTATTACCAAGAGTCCTTCTGCTAGTAAATCTAAACGCCCGCTCCACATTATAAAAAGAAGTTTCAATCTAAATAAGTTGAATATTGTGCAAGTAAAAAGATTTGGATCTAGCATGACCCGCATACTGACGTGACCTGAGCCTAACAGACAGATTAGACCATTTATAGAGGAGAATGCAGAACAATAAGAGTAAACAGAGAATACGCCCCAGGATTAGGAAGGGAGGGCAGATCGAATGAAACCTCTTAATATTGATAATTTCCCATTATGGCAAAGGAAGACTTTGAAGCTGTTATCTCCTCATATGGATCATGTTTGAAGAATTTATATACGTTCTACACAATAACCACGCAAAGCAAGAACATGATTAAAAGAGGGAAACAAAATTCCAAATTCAGCATTCAGCAAAATCAGGAAAATGTCTGCTCGCTAATCATGTGCTAAAACTGCTAACGTCTAACCTAAATAAAGGAATCATAACTAATCATGCAAAGATACTGCACTAATTCCAGTTCTAAAGTTCTCACCACATCAGATATTCAATGCCAAATTCAATTTTCAGATTTGTTAATTCATCGACTTTCAGCGCATCGGGTGCATAATATATTATCAGAAGCATCAAGCTATGGTGTAACAGAGTCGATACCGTATGATGAGATCGAAATACTCCTCAAAAGATGATTTGCCCCAGAGCTTCAAGCCATCAAGCCAGATCGAGACAACAGAGACTCAAAGGTTGAAGTAGTTCGTCCTTGGATTAGAGCAGCATTTACCAGCGAACAAAGATGCCGTCGTCTTTGGCCGAGACGATCATCATGAATACGAAAATTAACTGGTGGAAACTGCATTCTGTCGAAAGATGTAACAAGCTTGATAGTGATTATGAACATGGAACGAAGTTTACAGAAAAGGGAGGCAAACGATGGTCTGAGAACTTGAAGGAGTTCGAAGTTGAAGCCTCGAAGAAAAATTTTTTCGTTAATCGAACTGTCGTTTTCCAATTTTCTGTGGATTATGGATTAACGAGTTCTTCGAAGAAAGATCGTTATAAAAATTTTGGTTTAGGGTTTAAAAAGAGAATTTTTCTGTTTTCTATGATTAACCAAGTAGACGCATTCCCAAGAGAAAAAATTGCTTTGGTTATTTTAAATAAACATGAAAAAATTTCAATAATCTAATAGTACAAAAATTCCTTCGATAATTTAAAATTTTTTTCTAGTGCAACCATGGGAGGAATGCTTAAAAACAAAACAAAAATCATTAAAAAAAAAAAAAAACAATTGCAGGAGAGATTATTTCAAAAATATATATATTATCAACTTAGTTATTAATCAATAACTTTCAACTTTTCCAATTCGATCCTTCTCTATATTTGATTATGACATCGAAAAAGATATTATAAAGAATAATTTCATCTACTCTTTTTTTTATATACTATTAATTAATAATTAAGATCTGATCCTAATTATTTTTATATGCATCTTAGTAATTGTAACATATAATACATTCCCTAAAATATTATGCTCCTGCTCATCCTACAATGCAAGTTCATACTTGTTTTTTTCATACTTATTGCATATTTTGTCCATTGATTAATTTATGTATCATTTAATACACAAGTTTCTCTATAATGTATATCCTACAAAATATATATATATATATATATATATATTAATTATAGATGTGGTTATTGATCTAACACGAGTGGATCATATGAATACTAATAAAACTTTATTGGAGTGTCATCAAAAACTTAAAATCAACTTACATCCACTTAAACTTTTTATTCGGCAATGTACAAATACATACATCCACACAGGCACACATATTCTTATACAAATGATGAAGCAAGCATGGAAAGTAACAACATTTATATAAAAGTTACCAAATTTTTAATGATAATAGTCGATAGGAAGATGGATGTTGACGAATAAGCAGCACGTAATATTCCTCAGGCTTATACATCATGTTTTATGGAGGAGCTATAGTGAATTTGATCATCGTAAAACTTTGACCATAGCATAACACCACCGTAGTTTGGTGAACGTTTAATGACAGGCAGTACCACCAACTTCAAAATACCAGCGGGAATGAAGCCGCTACCGGCAGCTTGAGGAGCAGCGGGTAACCCCAAGAATATTTTGGCCGAAGGAATTTTAGAAGTCCATTGATTCTTCCATGACTCAAAGAGATTACTACCATTTCCAGAAAATTGACATGGTGCATTATTGTAGAATTGAACCCATACATAGTCGAAAAGCCCTGTCGTCATCAGTGCACCACCAATCCAAGCATCTGGGAAAGGGCATTGTGGAGCCGCTGTGAGGTACACCTTTTTACCACTCCGATGACCAAACTCCGACAGAAACCTTGCTAGCTCATCCCAATGTTGAGTTGTCCCGCCTTCAATGTCAAAGTCGATGCCATCGAGCACAACACTGCCGAGTGGACGGGACGACGACGATATATTTCCACCTAAAAAGTTGTTCCATAGATAGATTGCAACCTTTCTAGCATCCGCGGAAGATGAGAGAAAGTAGCTTCCAACACCTCCTCCAATGGAAAGTATCACCTAACAAATTAACTTCGACTTAACAACTTATTTACAATAATAAATAAAGATTGTGATGGATAGCTAAAATATTTGTGATATTTATAAATATAGCAACAACTTTTCAATTATGTAAACTTAGATATGTGAACAGTATATATATTCAAGTATATCAACCGTCAATCAAAATATATCATTATTATATTATGTATTCATTAAAGATATTCTAGACTTTTTCCTTTTTCTACATAGGTTAGGTCCCTCCCGATTTTACTAGTTTTACAAAACTGAAAAGTGGTCGTTAACTCTCAAATTCTTATTGATTTTTTTTTCTACTTTTGCAAGCACCTCTAAAAAACTAATGAATCCAAATTTAACCATCCTCACCACTATTATATTAAAAAAAAAATAGATTGAATTGTCAATTTTTCAATAATAGTAATTACCGTTTAAATTCAGCATTTAAGTATTGTCTATAATATAATCTAACATGATCACCTTGATGCCTCTCGCTTGGCACGACTTGACGTCGGAGGTCAACTTGGTGCAGCCATTGCTGAAGGGGTCGCAATGGCCGGCCAAGTTGATCTGCGGCTTCTGACCGTTGCCGAAGACGGAGAGGAAAGCCAAGATCACGATTTGGTAGTTTCCGGTGGCACACGTGTCAGCCAAAGTGCCCTCGTTCCCATTTTGACCCCAATAAATTGCAATTTTCCCAGCATTGGATTTCGCCATTACAGTAAGAATTACCATGAAGCAGAGGAGAGCTCCGCGAGTTTTCAGACGAAACTCCATTTTTTCCGGTGGAATTTTTTGCTAAGAGTTTATGTAATTCCTTTGATGAAGTGAGAGCATGAATTAAGTCTGTTTTTATAGGGAGAATGGGGAAAACGATGGCCCAAAATAATAAAGATTATGTCATTAAATAGGGGATTTTAAATTTCTATTTGGGTGTGAACTCTTTGTTGTGTAAATGTAGTTCATTACAAAAACTCACAAGATAAGTTGTATGAATATGACTTCTAATCAGCCTTATGTGTTTGTCTTAGTGGGGTTGTTTAACTTGTTATGAAATTTAAGATTACGAAATATTCTTCTCAATYGGTAGCGAGGAATCTCGCGACTATTATATTTTTTTGAATAAATAAGAAAAAATAACGTAGAAAAAGATCGAGAGAATTTTTTCAAGCGGTTAAATTTTTAGCAGTGATCAATAGAAAGCTTTTTTACTCATTGACAAAAGACCTGCTCCAAGAAAACGACGGTGGAGAGAGGAAAACCTCCATCCGCTATTGTAACGTCCCGAGCCTAAGATTCGGAATCCGGATTTGACACTTCTTTGTCAGGAGAGGTTCCGCTCTRATACCATTCAGTAACGTCCCAAGCACAGGATTCGGACCAGGATTTGGAATCCAGATTTGGCACCTCTTTGCCCCGACATCAGCATGYTTGTCCTCACTCACATGCTTCATAGTAAAGAAACTACGAGATCACCCATCTTAGGATTGAGTTACCGAAAAGGAAGGTGCACCTTGTTAGTATAGRTAGTAACTATCATTTCTTTTAAGCTTTCTTAATGGTATCAGTTCATTCTAGTCARGCGTTACAACTATACCCATTAAGTTATGTGACACTTCTCCAGTATAAAATGAATAACTATGTCACGAACTTCATTTAATTAATTTATCTAAAATTATAAGTAGGTTCAACAAACAATTTGGAAAATAAGAGAATCGGATACCGAACACGAGATGGAGATAGATTTGATATATATAGAAAGAAATATGGTTTATGCCATAAGAAAAATGTTATATATACTAAAGAATATATTATAAACAAAAAGAGATACTTTTTATTTTTGGATTGTACACAAAATTGGCTATAAAAGCATAAGTTTATGTAATAATTGTTTAGATTATGAATTTATGATTTGTAAAAGTTAATATGTAACACAAGAGGTAAATTTAATATGATATTTATGTAGTTTTTAGAGTTTGAATGAATAAATACATACCTATATCAAATATATATTTCACTTCTTAGCTCAAATTACACAAACAAAACAAGAGAGTTCAAAGGAGGAGGAAATTGGGTTATTTTGAAGTTGAGATTTGATTTATTTATCAAATTAATTGAGTTGCTAGGGTAATGTTTAGATTGGAATCTCAGAATTTGAATGGATTGTCGTGTTTAGTTGACAATTAAATTAAGATTAATGAATATGAGAGCGAGAGCCACCAAATGACAAAAGCTTGAATATGATTTTTTTTTTATTTTTTTTTTGTGACAATATGCTTGAATATGATTTTAATCCTTGGTCATTTCACCAACGATGTGACAAAATTTTGACGTGCCTACCATTCTTGCTATTTTCTCCTCAAACTAGGAATAATGTATATATATATATATATATATAATATTATTTGGAACGTGGTCAGATTCTTATCGCTCTTTGTTTTCAAATCTTTTTTTTAAATGTGTATGTATGTATGTATGTGTATGTGTGTGTGTGTGTGTATATATATATATCACAAACCTCTTACGAATATGGATATCGAAGAATGTATTAATGTAGGTCACCTTAAAATGTATTGTTGATCACTCGATAAGGTGACTTGTAAAATACACAAACGTACGAAAAGTTTGTTTTTTGATAATTGCATGAGGACTATGAATTATATATTGATTGTGGAGGGCCTCGCTTGTATATGAATTATTCGAGTGTTAACTAAATATTCTTGGGAGACTGAAATTTGTATTCTAGTTTACTTGATTGGGAATTATGGTAAAGATGAAACTTGAGATAGAGATAAGCGAGACCGTAATGTATCATGAGGCTAGTTTGAGGTATTAATAATACGAACGCAACTAGTTGCTCATATGGTGAGTACAAAAGCTTCATCTAAGACATTGTATTTCTCTCATCGTTTTGCATTTTTTTAATATTCCATCATAAATAATTATACGTGTAATTTAGATCAAATCTATGACAAGAGGAGGTATAGAAATGTTTAACCATTTTAGCTTGGCATTGGTTTGTTTTTTACATAAATAAATTTTGACAAACTCATACAAATTTTAAGTAAAAAAAATCCACAAAAAAAAAACATGTTCCCGTTCATATTAACCTTTTTCTTTTCAAAATTTCGGAAATAATCAAATATTTTTATTAGTGACAAACAAAAATTCTCAATAGTGAAAGATTCCGCTTCGTAATTATGGGGTACAGATCCACACAAAACTCCATGGATAAAGATAGGTTCTAAAACCCTATAAAATACTAAATTATAAATTGACAATTTGGCAATGGCTGAAAAAGTTGAGAAATCATACTCATACGAAAGCTATTTCAAAATTATTTTAAATCTCACGATAGAAGAATTATATAAATCAAATTTCGTCCTTTGTCTGCCTGATAGAAAAATAAAATAAAAAAAACCCCCCGTAAGGGAAAATGGTAATCGAAATTTAAGATATAAAAGTCCCAATCCCGAGTGCATAGAAAGAAGCTATGAAAATGATAATCAATTAGTCACAAAGTACCAATACAGAAAATGAACCGTCCACGGAAATTAGCCTATCAATTATCATATCAGGCAGGAATTGACGGATAGACATTGTTGACTACCATCTTCCCTAAATCCTTATTACTTATCAGTTATATGTACTAATTTTTCATTATTTATAGCACATAAAAGAGAAGAAAATGAACAGGTAACAGAGAGAGAGATGCAATACAAATAGAATTTGTGCAGCCATAGATGAGGTTATTGCCGGTAACTTCTGTTGAAGAAGAATTCACAAGACCGAGCCCACCTTAAGTTTCGGTGTTCTCTGTTTCACGAAGAAAGCAGACAGCACACTTTTGCTGCGAGCGGGGGCATGTACTCTTTCGTGTCGATTCGGGGCATCAAATGACCTGAATGCTGTCAACTGTTTGGAACCCTCGAATGCTTCCTGTAAGAGGTAGGTTGTAAGATTGGCATTTTCTTCAGACATTACGACAGAGGAATTAGAGAAGAGAAATTAATGCTGTTACGAACAAGAAAGGATAAGAAGTCCTGAAAATTAGCAAACTATAATCAGATCACAGCCTATTAGAAGTAACAAAAACCTATGTCTTACGGTCCAATGTCCACAAGAATACTTAAAAAAAAATATGCAAATTTGATATCCTAGAAGTCGCGGCATATACGCAAGGCAGGAACTGTTCTATTTGAATGTTAAGTTCAAACAAAATGGACTAAAAACATCTGTTCCATTCAAGAGATGAATAAAAATAAAATGGATCAGCAGAAAACAATGTAGAAAGCCTGAAGAAACCAACCCAACAACACCCCTTCGGAAAGGCTTATCACTCCTAATTACCATGCATGTGCTCAGAAGAAAATTGGGAATGCATATAGTCTGATCAGTTTTAACATTACCCTGTGAGTAGCACCAAACGTTTGCAGAATTGCATTGGAAGCAGGAAATCCACTCGATGGCTGAGTGTAACCAGCTGAGTATTTCGGACGGGTGGTGGCATCATTATCTACAAGAGCACGCTTGACAATAAGGATCATTGTTTCAAGAGAAAACAAATTCCAATCACATCAATGGCACCAGTTACCAACATTGTGCTGCACTAGTTCTAATACTATATACCTATAAGATGGAAAGTTCCAGAAGTTTTTTCTGCAATTTTTTGCTCCTCGTTACTGCATAAYAATAAAAAAGAAAACCATGAGAAAGTGGGAGACTCGATAATATCAGGAATTAAGGGAAATACATAGAAATTGTCTTATGCAATTAAAGCTCATGCAAGAAATCCCCTCTACTTACCCGTTTAAAGAATGTGGACCACCTTTCAGTGTCGACTTTGTCTCTGAGGCTAAATGCCATGAAAGCGTCTTTGATGCAGGAACGCCTAGAATGGAAATGAAGAATACAAGCTCACACCAATATATGGGCAGGATGTTAAATTTATAACAGAAACTGAAATTCCTATCAAGTAAAAGAATAAATATAATAGAAACTAAAACAACCAAGTTGCACCAATGTATAAATCAGAAGAATGAACTGATAACAGAAATAGATTAACGAAACGTCTTGACCATAAATCAGATACCTGAGGGCTGAAGACGACCTCTTGCTTGAAAGGGTTGTTGCCTAGCATCGGTTTGTAATTGTGGACTAAAATGTACCTTCTTACTGACAGAATCTAGTTGGAGTAAACAAAATGAAACAGCAAAGGTCAAATATGAAGGGGGAGAGAGGGTGAAGTTAAAATTCACATTGTCATCATAGCAGCWAGAGGAGATAACAAAAGGATAACTGCTATTCTTACTCGGTAAAATATAATGCTTATGATGCCTTGGAATCAATGCCAGTAGCTGCTGCTGCCTGAGGCCTTCTTTATCCGTATATATTTGACATGTAAGAAGTTGCTAAAATAAAAATAGACTTAATTTTTCCTTCAATATCATTTGCTTGCTTTCTCAGTAAGACATGAGCAAGACGTTTACCTGATTTAGACAAGAGACTTTAAGCTCCATGGTTGATACATCTGACGTTTGCTGCTCGAGAAGCTCAGTCAACTTGTATGCCACCGTACCAAGGTGATCGACAGCATTAACAAGAGCCCGTACAGCATAGTCCTTTAGGTTGTCCACAACCCTGTCACAATTCTTTGATATTGGTTAAGTGTCCCTTTCTTTGTGGATGCTTATAGAGTTCCAGTTATATGATATGTCAATTCTTCTTGACCAACAATCTAAATAGTGATTAAAAAAGGGAAAGCTCCCTGCGCCAAATTCTTCAAGCATGCAAGATTAAACCTATTCATATCTATGGTTGCACGGGGGAAGACTTTTATCAACATTGAAATGATAGTTCAAACTTAACTCATTCAAATAACACCTGTCTTAACAAATATTGGTGAGGAATATGAACCCTAGAACTTAGACTTAGGGAGAGGTACACTCAGCCAAGAAACTCCATAACAGGCTTAGTATATGATTAAAAACTTTTATCAACTTGCAGAAGCATGTTTGCAATTGAACCATGAAACCACTGTAAGAAGTGAACCAGCAAAGCTTACATTTGTTTCTGCTCACTGTGAAGGTAGGTTTTCTCACAATATTCAGCAGCAGAGTACAGCTGAGGCCTCAAGTTCTTCAGTTCCTGAATGAAATAAATAATTATGGTCAAAACAATGTGATCTATATACTTCTATAAAAGACAAAACTAAGAAAACTAAAGAATGGTATATTAAGTTATGAAGACAAAATTTCAGCAAGAACAAAACTAAAGAACCTAAAGAAGTTAATCTGCTCTCTCGAAAACCAGACCATCCTGCCAGAGAACTAAATATTTTTTGAAAATTATTAGTCGTTACTGCCAATCTTGGTAGAGACCTCGACTTCCTCTCAGATTTCCCGGAACATATTATGAGAACCGCAGACTCAGCCAAGCACTATCATGTGAAGTAAAAAATTCAACCATATCACATGCCTCAACACGACCTATCTAAGGTGCATTTCACTGTTCAAACAATTTTGAACAAAAATTTTCCGATCGGAGTAGGGGCATCGAAAGCTAAACACATGAATTAAAAACTCAATAGCTCAAATTAACATTCTAATCAGATTCTAATATAATTGAAAAATCCTCACAGCCTTTCGTTCCGTAAAATTAGTCATCACCTCAACTCAACTATTAGCATCCGAACTCAAATAAGTCAACCAACCCCAACCACAACCACAACCATCAAATCCAGAATAAGCAAATCAAGAAAAACGGAACCAAACGCCAGGCAGAAGCAAAACACGCAAGCGAAAAGGAGAATCAGATCCGCAGTACAAATCAAGGAAGAAGAACAAGTTGGAGTACGAAACCTGCAAGGCTTTAACGAAACTCTTGCTCCGCTCCATGGAAGCCTCGTCGAAAGTCATGGCGGGATTAGTAATGTCCGGCCTGAGTCGATCCAGCTCCATTGCTTGAAGGAAATCAAAGAATTAGAAAGAACAGAGCAAGGGAAGGGCCAAAGAAATCAAAGAATGTTCCCCAAACTGATGTTTAGTTGCATAATGGAGAGCGGAATTTTGGAATTAAATGGTTCGGAGTTCGGTGAGAAGGCGAGCAAACTGTGAGAGAAAGTAGAGAGAGAGCGCAGTGAGTGAGAGAGAAGCAAGGTGGGAAGTGGGATTTTGGAGTTAATCACAAGGGAAAATGACACGGAGAAGGAGGGAGAGAGAAACAGAAGGCGCGTATTTATTTAATGTGGAGCTGGAAATTAAATTATATATTTCGGTGGTTGGACTTTTCTCCACAATATTAAAAACGATGACGTTTTCTACTTTTATTTTATTTTATTTAAATGGTAGGCGGGTAAATTTTATTTTATTTTTTTAATTTCTTTTAATTTGAACAGGCACCCAGCTTATTAGGAGTTTAGGATTAGGAGTAAGAGTTTCTCACCTAAGAATCCGTAGTTAATGGTAGAGATTTGAATTTTTTAATTTTTAGTTAAAAATATAAATCTTAATATTGAGGTAATTTTGAAAATAGAAGATTGGATATCAATATTTAAATAAAAGATACCTTTTACTTAAATGTTTTTACGAGGACTTATTATAGTTTAATAAATTGTCAACTTTTCATTATTAATCCAACTTGGTTTATGCGTTTCATGGTTTTTATTTTTATAATAGTTTCAAGCAAGAAAATCTATGCTCATCGAATATTTTTTTATGAATTTAGCTCTTTTGATTAAACTAGTTTTTACAAAAAAGAAAATATATATATATGTATAAATTATCAAATTAAAAAATAATTTGAATATATAGCAATTACCGTTACTCGACAACTTCAGTTGAATCAACGGCTGACAATTTTGTCTTTTAGGCATAATAAATAGAAAATTGCCCAAATTATATTTTTAAATACAAATATCATATTTAGTTATTTGATAGCTATGTTTGAAGTTGAAAAAGGCTGCTACTTTTTATTTTAATTACAAATATTTTGCCAGTTTATTTTATTCATAAACTTATTATTGCCAGCTAATATATAAATAGACAAACCTTCGCATTGTTTGCTGGACTTTAAGAATAAATTCCTTTAAAATACATTTTAAAGTTAGAGTACTAAATGAGTATTTATTAAATATAAATGGGAAAATGAGTATAATTCATTCTATTTTTSTTACCTAATAAAATATATTTTTGTGCCAAATCGAACATATTTCAAATAATTAAGACACTTATCTCTGACTAAAAGATYATGAGTTCGAATCTCCATCCCACAAGTTGTATTAAAAAAATATATAGATATATTTATATTATCCATTGATTGTTTTTTTTTAATTGGATGAACAGATTGTTTTTAAAAAATAAAAACATTGCATAAACAGTAATGTGAAAGTTATGAAAGAAGTTTATCTTTTTGTGGTAAAGAGTATATAATGATTGGGAATTAATAATGGCCTCATAATTTTTAAAGCAATGAAAGTACAATAATCAAATAATGGATATAAACTAATAATATCAATATATTATTCTTACCATTGATTTCCTCTTCCTCTTCTTCTTTTTTTCTTGTACATTTTTCGAAAACATATTCCACAAGCAATTATAATCATC